GGGGGGAAATAAGTGAAGGAAGGAAAGGGGGAAAGGGTAGTAGTTTAGGGGATACAAAGCAGCATGAAAGCTAGCTGTTTTTCTTTCAAGTCAGTTGTATGGGTCCCTTTTGAGCGAGCGAAATGAAATGGGGGGTTTTTTTAAAAAAAAAAAATTCAAGTAATTGAATATGCGTGATGTTGTTTGGGGAATGTGTGAGATAGTGCGATATATCACAGTACTTTTCACTAGAGAAGAAAGAGAGAGAAAAAAAAGGGAGGCAGATGTTACGACGTATGGCATGAATTCATACCACTCATACTCAAGTTTAAAAACCCCATTACAACTGATGCAAAAAAAAAGAGAGAGAGAGAGGTAAAGAAAAGAGGTATCCAATAATCCACACATAGTAACTCCAGCAGTCTCCGTCTCCTCCCCCCCCCCAGAAAACAAGAACTAAGAAAAAAAAGATGTTACAGTTTTAGTAATTTACACATTGGCTGCATAGTCTTCTTCTTCTTCTTCTTAAAGTTCCGTTCAATCTCGTCTCTCCCACTTTCAAAAAAACACGCTAGAAGCCTTCTGGGAGCTGCAACTGAAACGCAGCGGCGTCGTCATCATCTTCCTCCTCCTCCTCGGCGAGCGCAATATTTCCATGCAACTGATTGCTAAAGTTCTTGGTCCACGCGTCGTCGTCTTCATCGTCGGAACGCGCCAGCAGCAACAACTCCATTTCGCGCTCAAAGTCTTCGGCGGTACGACGAGGCTGCTCGTCCTCTGCGGATGAAACCAGCGTAGCGTTGGTAGAGGTGGAGCTGCAGCGAGAAATGGGGCCTCGAGAGCGGCCGGTGGAAGCACTGGTGCTCGCGCTGCGCACATGGCTGGTCGAGACGGGGCGGGCCATGGCGGAGAAAGGCGCGGGCTTGGTGACGTTGGAGAGGGGTTTGCGCGCTGCTGCTGGAGCGGTACGTCCAGCACGACCTTGAGCATAGCCGATGGTGTTCTTGGACACTACTGAAGCCGAGACCTGGCGAGAGGATGCCATCTCTGTGGGCGTCTTTGCTCCTTTCCTGCCAAAAACAGGTCCAGTTGGTACGCGCGATTTGGCGGCTGCAGTAGGAGCAGCATAGCTAGGCTTCGAGGTTGGGAGAAGCGCAGCTGCTGCAGATCGGGCGCGTATAGTCGACGGTCCAGTTGGAGCCTTTCTAAGCGCAGAAACGGACGTTGCTGTTTTGGGCGCTGCCTCTTTCTTCGGTTCCTTGATCCCATAGTATTCCCTCATCTCAGCGTCGTCCTTGGCCATTTGGGATGCAAAGAGCTTCTCAAAATGCTCGTCGCGCTGCTTGCGGCCCTTTTGGAGTTCCTCCTCAAACTTGCGCTGCTCGCGCGTGCGTCCGTCGTCTTCAATGGGGTTGTGGTAGGCCTGCCAGATGCCGCGCACCATGTCCTGGTTGTTGATCTTGGGAATAGTCCAGTTCCTGGGGAGGTACTCGTCCATGTCGTCCTCAAGCGGAATCTCCTTGGGAGGCATGTACTCGACTTCGGGCACATCATCTTCAGACTCGTTGGCGACTTCAGGCTGGTGGACCTTGACTTTTGGACGACGAAGACGCGGACTGAGCTTCTGCGTCTTTGCAGACAAAGGCGCTGGCGTCGCAAAGGCTCTGGATTTAGCATTGGTCGTTTTCATGCCCAGCGGCGCACGCGTACGGGGTCCTAGATGTGTGAGTTTGGGTGAATGCATTACGCGGCTATTCCGTCATACCGGCTGGAGTAACAAAGGCATTCTGGTCGACTTTTCCACCCTTGCCGCCTGTGAATAATTCGGCTCCTTTGCCTTGAGTTTGCAGAATCGATTTCGCGCCTTTGGTCACGGCATTTTCGTCGTTGAGCGGGATCTTGAAGGGCGTCTTGGGGGCTTTGTTTCCTGGTGTTTTGGCGTTGAATCCCTTGATGCCCGCGTTTAGCGACTTTGAACCGCCGGCGGCGTGCAAATGGCGGACGGCATTTTCCTGGTCGTTTGCTGCGAGAGTCGCCATAGCGGTGGTTACATTGAGCGAGTCGTGTGGGGTGCGGCGGGCGGCGGGCGGGGGTTGGTGGAGGGAGATAGTGTCGGGGCGGGTACTTGTGTGTTTACTGGCGGTTGCTGGGGCGGCGGCGGCCAAAGAGGGTCTGGGCTGGCAAAAGGGTCCGGGCGGAGGTAGTCCCTTTCGGCAGCGCTTGCCCGCATTGTCAGCTTGCACACCTCAACTGCAAGGCACATTTCTCATACATCCACGACAACACACCTGCTCCGCTTCATTCCACTATATAAGCTGCTGATCTCTCCACCGTCTCCGCAGCACCACACCACACAAACACTCCTTCTTCCCATTCACACTCTACACACCGCCCGCCACCATGGATCAGATCAAGAAGGTGAGTCGACACATACCCCGCCAATGCCCCTTCCCACCATGCCCAACCCTACCTCTGGTTGACGCCACATTCCACGCCTGTCACATCTCAAATGGGGAACATACGCTAACATGGCCTTTTTTCACAGCGCATGGAAGCTCTCCGCGTCGAGGCGGATGAGAGCAGCGCCCGCGCTGAGGAGCTCAAGGCCAGGGTCAAGCAGCTCGAGGCCGAGACGACACAGAAGGAGCAGGAGATCACCTCGTTGACGCACAAGAACTCTGTGCTCGAGAGCGAGGTTGAGAAGCTTGAGGGGCAAGTCAAGATCCACAAGGACGAAGCTGGTGCAGGCGCTCAAGCCGGCACTCAAGCCGAAAGCCTCCAGCGCAAGATTCAAGTTCTCGAGGAAGAAGCTGAGGAGTCGGACAGGACGATCCGCGAGCTCAATGAGAAGTACGATTGCTCTCTTTTCCATCCCTTCCGATGGATGGCCTTCTGCCATTACCACTGCCACCACTACTCACCCCCCTGATCTGCGTGTACTGACTCGCTACCCCTCTTAGGCTCCGCCAAACCGACGTCAAGTCCGGCCACTACGAACGCAAAGTCCAGGCTCTCGAGCAATCCCGCGACCAGTGGGAATCCAAGTATGAGGAGATGGCCAAGAAGTACGCCGACACCAAGAAGGAGCTTGACGACTTCGTCAAGGAGATTGGAAACATCTAAGCTGGTTTTTCTTGTTGTTGCGCCCTTGCGACTGTATTCAAATAGGAAACAAGGTGCTTTAGCTTACCGTGGGACCGTCGAGATAGAGGCAGATTTCACACACATGACATTCGCGTACAAACCCCCTACACTACTACTACTATACAACTGTTTCTTTTTCTGCGGCTGCTTGCTGGGCGGGCCTGTTCGCCTTTTGTAATCCCTGAGCAAATACAACGTTGGTGGTTCCCGCCAGACATACCGTAATACCCCCTTTAGAATCACCCAGTGCGTCGGCCGCCGTGCATGATGTGAGATGTGTACTTACTGATGATGATGGGAGGTGGGTTCTAATGACCCCCCTGGATAATATGAGCCGCGGACATGCCGGGATGGGAATTGTGTCAGATGTTTGTGCTTTATTGAGCAAATTGAACAAAGTTATGAAGGGTGGGGGGGAAGAGGGGGTATCATTTTTGTGTATTCCTGCACAAAGCTCTCGAAAGCTCTACCTACCACCAGCGCAAACGCTCACACAAGACAATGCAGAAAGAGAGAGAAATATTATGCCGCGTGTCGACTAGTTTTTGTTGGTCCTCGCCTCCTTTTGCTTCCTCTTCTTCATACCCTGCTTGATGCGCTCCGCCTTTCTCTCCGTCTTAGTCTCGTACCTAAACTTTTTCTTCTTCTTCTTGGGCTTATCGCTATTCTTTGGCCACGCTTTCGTCCACACCTTTTTCTTGTTGCTGCTGTTTGCCTCTGCATCTGCGGCCTCTTGTGCTTTCTTCTTGGCCTCCTCGTCGTGCTCGTCGTCTTCGCCTGGCCGCGAGAAGCCAGACTTGGATATGTTTACGGATTCCATGGTGACGGTTGTGTATTTATCTTCGTCAATATACTCGTCTTCTTGGTTGATGGGTTCTGGTTCTTGGAACCCTGTGAATTCTTCTTCGTTGCCGTCTTTGTTGTCGTCGTCCGAGTCCGAGTCGGCGGAGCTGAGGTCGCCGTTTGCTTGCTTGACTAGTCGGTTTACTTCTTCGACGTGTTTTTCTAGTTCGGCTTTGCGCTCGGCTCGGAGCTATTGTAGCATGTATTAGTTGCTTGTTATATTGTATATGCTGAGGATGCTGGGCGCTGCAAGTAATGCTGCTCTTGCGCTTTTCCAAACCACCAAAAAAGTCGAACACATACTTCTCGCCTAAGCCTTAACTTCTCCTCCTTCTCGCGCTTCGCATTTTCCTCCTGGGCGTGTTTCTTTCGCTCGAGCTTGCGCTTGTGAAACCCGGTCAAGTACTCTTCGCGCGCCGCAAAGTTGAATTCGATTGTTTCGGGCGCGGTGACGGCGAGCTTGCGTTTCTTGTTGGGCGGGCCCATGATTGCGTCGAGGGTTACCAGAAATTGGCAGGACCTTGTGGAGACTAGGCTACAGGGCGAGTGGTGCTGGGATGGTGCTGTCGCGTTGTATTGCGACAGGCGGGAAAAGTGGTTGCGGAGTTTGCCAAAAATTACCTGCATGGCAGGGATCTGGTAGGTATTAGGTAGTCTGGGTGGAGCCGAGGCTGGTCCCTACCCTACCTAGATTTAGACCAAGACAGCATTATTACCACCACCATGATGGTGACAGGCTAGATGAAATTATTGTGATTAGATTATCTACATCAGTAGTGGTCATGACTCTCGTTTCTCATTGATTGTGAGTATTGCGCTCAACGCAAAATAACAAGTCGAAGCTAGAAAGACATCAATCGTGAACATAGAAGCTAGAACACCAGTTGGCCTGACTGGACACACCAGAAGACGTTCATATCGTCCATACATAGCATGTAGCCAGCTGGGACTATCCCCTCGTTCTATGCATCAATTTTTTCATCTTCTGAGTCATGGATACCAAGTATCTTCCTCCTCCATGAAAGTGACTCGAGATGTTTCTTCGCCTTGTGCGTAAGACACAATGCCGGATCAACACTCTGAAGGCCAGGCTCGCCGAACATAGCGAGAACCATCAAGCCCAGAAACGAGTGGTACATGTCCGGCGGGTCTCCAGTAACCTTGCCAAAGCCTCCGACAGCATGCTGTGTCTTGTCCAGCAACCACTTCCTGATGGGTTGCGAATCCACGATGTCGAGGTGACCAAGCAGCTGCAAAGGTGTGCATGTCCAGTAGGCATAGCATGTATCGGCAATTTTGTTGCACCTTCCGTTGACACCAACCCATTGCAGGTCGAAGTGAACGTTAGGTCTTACTTTGGAGTCCTCATTAGCCTGCGTAGATGGATACGAGCCCAACTTTACAAAAGAGTGCGCGTCGTGACAAGTTTCTGCAGAATCGGTCTCGTCTTCCATAGTGTCTATGCCGTCCTCCTCGTCCAGAGTCAGAGTTTGTCGAGACACAAGCCAATGTAAAGTATTTTGGACGTTGGACACTCCGCGGATAACACCATCGGGCTTTTGCGAGGACGGTAACGGTAGGCGGTTCAGAAAGGCAAGTGCAGCAATGGCGCAGCAGGTAAATCCGGCATGTGCTTCATGATAGGGCGCTTCGGAAATGCCTCCGTCGTAGCATTCCGATGCGCGAACGCATGTAACAAAGGCGTCAACATCGATGTCTGGGATGCCTTCGCATGGCCCTTCAAGATCGCCGCGTAGCATCCATCGAATGGCCGTGGCCATGTATCCGAACCTTGAGTCGTTGCCACCATGCACATAGCCACCCTCGCCGAGCGTCTCACCAAAGCTGCCCTCTGGTCTTTGCATCTGGACCAACCACGCCAAGATTTCTTTCCTCTTGACCTTTTCCAGATCATCGCCGAGAACAATCAACGTTAGGAGTGCAAAGAAGGTTCCCGGGATATGGGCAGGGTCCCAGATTTTGTTATCGTCATTTCTGAGCCTGCCGTAGTTTGACCCTGGCCATGGGCGGAAACCGCCCTCTGGCAATTGGCAGCCATAGACCCAATCGATGTGCCCTTGACGCTCCTCGGGAGACAGGGCGGCGTCTAGATCGCCCAGGATATCGAGGGCAGAGACGGTGAAGAGGGCGAGCAGCATGCGGTTGGAGTCATTGCTGGTGTAGAAATGGGGCAGCAGCGTCTTGAGGTTTCTGCGCCAGTACTTGATGTGGCGGGCATAGTTGAGTTGTGTGCTGTCGAGGGCAGAAGGAGCCATGATGGAGACGTGCTGGGTTGAACCCGGCGTCTTTTGCCGAGCGAGGTGCTGGTGCCCCTGTGCAGCCTGCGAGTGTGATGGCTGCGGGGCTGTGGTTGCAAGCCAAGGCGGATGCGTGTGTGGGTGTGTGTATCTCTGCAAGGCTGAGAAGGATCAAGAGGGCAAGTGCAACACCAAACTCGGCCCGTAGCGTGCACGCTCCCACACTCTCACACACACGCAAGCCACCTGAGGCTAATCAGTCGACTGTCGGGCAGGCGCTGGATGCAGACTGGACTTGGTGAGTAGTAGTAGTAGTACTACTACTGGCGTGGTTGTTGTTGTTGTGTTTGTGGCGGTGGTGTTGGGGCTGATGGGGGTGTGGATGGTGCTAGTAAGTAGTACTGTATGTACGCAGCCGTGTATGTAGGCAGGAGTACATGCTTAGTGTACTGTACTTACCATGGCCTCTACCAGTAGTAGGGCAGTGCAGTGCAGTGCAGCGCAGTGCTGCATACGTAGTACGTACTGGGACGGTAGTCATCATCAGCAGCGGGCTGACCAGGCCCTAGCCGATGCAGGGGCAGAAGCGTTAGGAGTCGGTCCATTGACGACGACTGTACGAGTATGTAGGTATTTTTACCATTGGCCATGGCGACTAAAGGCCAAATGTCGGGCAAAAAACCCTGGCTGGGCAGAGGCTGTTTGGCTGCTGGGCTGCCTGAGCCAGCCCTGTCACGAACAAAGGCTGCAGGGGTGTGGGATGCGACATCAGCTCTGCCACAGCGGCCGGCCTGCAAAAACCCCTCCTGAGGCGGCTGCGTGGTACCCTATTATCCTATGTAACTTCACTCAGCCTGGCTTCTGCCCTCGCCCATCACGCGCACCTTGCCCCTTCTAGTCGTCACTCTTTCTCTGCCTGGGCCCTCCGCCAGCAGAAACGCCGCCGAAACGTCTGAGGCCGCGCAACTTTCTGCCATACATCACCGGGTCCGCGCTTGCGTGTTCCTTCCCCAGGCCTATCTTCTCCACGCTCACTACGGCCGTTGACCGACCACCCACCAACAACCCAATCTTTTCTTTTCTCATACACCTCCTCCCTCCAGAGTAATCACGAGTCGAGTGCTGCCTGCTTGCAAGCTGCCGCCATGAGTACCGGCTTCGCTGCGTCATTCTGGTCTAGCGACTATGCCGGAGGTATGCCCTGACGTCCGCTCCCAACACCGCCCCGCCTGTGCTGACCTTGCAGGCTTGGGTGTTCTCTTTGGAAAGCTCCAGCAGGGAGTCCAAGAGAACCAGCAGATTCTGACCGTTGCCCGCATGCGAGCCGATGCCGAAGAGGTCTACGGAAACTCGCTGGCTGCCATTACACCAGCCACTGAGCGCATAGCCGGAGGCTTCAGTAGAGATGAGGGCGCAAGTGTGCGAAAGGTGCGTGTGACACAGTACCTGCCTATGCCCGACCGCTGACCGTTGACCGCTGACCCCCACCAGGCCTACGAAGGCGTGCGCACCGAAATGGAGGCAGCTGCCGCAAACCACAAGAAGATTGCGTCCAACATCCGAGAGCTGGTTGTGAATCCCTTTGGCCGCTGGTGCGAGGCGCATGCTGCCCGTGTCCAGAACTCCCAAGACGACCTACAATCGCGCATCAAGATCCACGACCGCCAGGCCGATGCCGTCCGCAAGTTCCGCTCACAATACTACAACAAATGCCGTCTAGTCGAGGATCTCGAGGAGGAGGACAAGCTCGCTTTCCAGGACCCCCAGAGTGAAGCTGCGCAGAGCCCCAAGGTCAAGGTACCTACCATCAAGATGTCTGAGCCCGAGGATGAGGAAGAGGAGCCCATCGATCTGGGCGACGAGACATACCAGCCCGATCAAGTCAAGAAGATCCTCACACATATGCTCGACAACATCAAACTCGGCGAGGTCAAAGTTCCCATCCTGGGCACCTACCAGAATTGCTCAACTGGTGCCGACATCACCGAGTACATCCAAAAGCACATGGGTGCTACTACCGTCAGCTACGCTGAGCGCATCGGTCAAGATATGGTTGCCCATGGCTTCCTGCGCCTGGTTGGCAACGTCGGCAACACGTTCGCCAACAGCTCTAGAATGAACTACCAGTGGAAAACCAAGGCTTTCCAGATTACCGGATTGCCTGAGAAGAAGCAACCCATGGCACGCTCCTCCACTACCATGTCGAACTCATCGGTCGATAGCATTTCCGTCGATACTCCTGTCGGAACTGTGCAAGAGTACCTACAGGGATGGAACCCGCTCAACAACCAATACCCAAATGAAACACCGGCAGAGAGATTGAGGCGAGAGGCTCGTGAAGCTGACGAGCGATACAAGGCCTCGGTGAAGAAGCTCGACTCCTTGAGGTGTAATTTGGAGGAGGCAATGGTGGATCATCTCAAGTTCATGGAGCGCTGCGAGCTGGACAGACTCAAGGCCATCAAGGCGGTTATCCTCGACTTCTCTGGAGCCGTCAGCAACGTCATTCCTAGCTTGCAAAGCACTGTGGACAAAATGATGCTTTTCCAAGAAACGGTGCAGCCGCTGGGTGATTTGCGGTACATGCTCGAGAACTACAGGACAGGCCCATTTGTGCCAAAAGTCATGACATACGAGAACTACTATAACTCCGTGGATGGTACGGTGCTTTCTAATCCCATTTTTATTGCGATACTAACAATCACGCAGAGCAAACCTTTGGTGTAGATCTGGAGGCTCGCGCGCGCTCGGACAAGAAGCGTGTGCCAATAATCATCACTACCATACTCACTTTCTTGGACAACCACTACCCTGATCTCGAGGGCGACGAGGCCCGTCGGGGCATCTGGCTAGTCGACGTACCTTTGTCCCAAACTCACACTCTCAGATCTGAGATCAACACTGGCAAAAGATTCCCCGACGAACTGCTTGAGAAGTATGACGTGCCAATTGTTGCTAGCGTCCTCAAGCTCTACCTCCTGGAACTTCCTGGTATGCACTCCACGACATTACTATAGGCTCTTTTACTGATTGCACTAGACTCATTGGTTTCTTCCCATGTTTACGAAATTGTCAAGACCATTTACAGCACTACTGCAACCGACGTCTCTGAAGAGACAAGGATTTCTGTCATTCAGTCAACTCTTGGCCAACTGCGTCTTGCCAACATTGCTACACTAGATGCTATCTGCACACACTTTACCCGTCTTATTGAGCTGACATCGGCTGATGAGACGTATGTCACGGCACTAGCCAATACGCTCGCGCCATGCATCCTTAGGCCCAAGCAAGAGTCAAGTTTGACTATGAATGAACGATACAGTTACCGCCTGGTGCGCGATCTGTTCGCGCACAAGGATGCGATTTTCGGAGAGTTGAAGCGCGCAAGCACACTCACTCACTCATCCTCTGGCGCTCAGCGCCCCCGTGCAATCTCTACAGATGAGAGTAACCGACGTGCAAACATGGAGGAGCGGCAACGTGCCATTGCTGCTCAGCGATCACCACGGGCAACCTCACCAGCGCCTGGCTCGCGAGTATCAGGATCTCATCGCCGAGACCGAAGCGCCACACGATTCCCAGTCAATACATCGTCACCTACTGATTCGCGAAAGGCCAATGGAAACCGTGGATCGCTTGAAGTGCCCGGAAGCGATGATAGCTCTACCGGCGAAATAGCTCCTGCTACTACAAACGGTGCCACTGAGGCTGCTCCTGTCGAGCACCCTGCGCCCTCAAGTACCAGGGTACCTTTTCCCCGGAAGACTGCTGGCAGCTTGACGAGAGGCAACAGGGATTCAACCGGTAGCATCAGAAGCGAAGACACAGCGCCTCGAGGCGTTACACTCGAGGACAAACCCATGGACGACTAGTGGTAGTCATGTTCTTGTCTTCAGATGTGTACATATATAAAATCGACACGAGAGTACCTCCTACTTGTATCGCCCGTCACGTCCAGCGACACTCTTGCAGACTCAGCAAAAGACGTGCCTTTGGGCACTGGATGGATACGTGACCGATATTGCAGGGCAGGTTGTGCAACGGACCTACTGATGGCAATCTCCAAAGATTTCACACGTGCGTGAGGAGAGGATAGGCAGGCTTGTCGAGGTATCTAGATGGTTCATGTATAATTTGAGATAGCAAGCGGGTGGAACATGTAGTGTTTTGTACGTGGGATGCGGCACGATTGTCACGAGTCTACACGGCCACGGGAAATATGATTGTACTTACTTTCTGCCTTGGCTGTTAACCATGGTGGTGGCTTGTACCTGGGACTAGCCTGCAGCCTGCACGCTAGCACACCGTTGTTACTTAGACGAGCCTAGACCTCGTCATCGTATGTACTCACATGTCCCGTTCCAAGGCGGAGCAGCATGAAAGCGACATGGGGGGTCAGCTGTGGCTGGGCATCGGCTGCCCAACCTCTGGGGCGCATACTTATCCAATATCTTCCTGTTGATATCCTCAAGCTCTGCTGTCTTTTTTCCGCTTCTCCATCTGCCTCGTTTGCGCGTGCTTTGGTTGTGTTGTGCTCCGTCCGCGTCTTCGATCGGGCAACCCCACGCTCATCGGCCCCCACGAATCACATTGCGATCGCAATCGAAGCTTCCCACTTTTCGACTCTCATCGCTGCCAGCGGATTACATAGCGAAGAGCGAGAAAGGCGCCATGTGTCTTGTCAAAGTTAAGCAAGAAGAGGACCACATAGTCCCGTACCGCGTAGTGCAGCGTGCCCGCTCTCCGCCCCGTCGCCGTGTATCGCGACATTCGCGCGACATTGAACGCCGCTACTCGCGCAGTGAGGTTGTTCGCGACTCACCTCCACGGCCCTCGTCATCCTATATTGCCGTGCCATCGCCAAAACCTCTCCAGATCCCCGCGCCGCAGCCGGTGCCTGTGTTCATCCAGCCTTCTCCGCCTCCACCACCACCACCGGCGCCTATGCCTATGCCTGCTCCACCACCGGCGCCAAGCCATATCTCGTCTCACCATACTTCCCATCACGGCGGCGCGCACTACGTCGAGGTCTCTCCGCGATCTAGCATCACCTCTCATACGTCTAGTCTTGACGACCGTAGTGAATATGTGTACCGTGAGCGCGAGGTCCGGCGTGAGCGCCAACGAGCTTACAGCCCTGACAACCCACGCTACGAGCACTACCGATACGTGGAGCCTGCATCGAGCGAGAGCGATCACTACGAGAGATATCAGACGCGAGACCGGAGCAGACAGCGTAGCCGCAGCCGTGCTGGCTATGACGATTCGAGGGGAGGCTATAGAGAAACCACTAACATGAGGGTGTCAATCGGAGAAAATGACGGAAGGCGGAGGAGGGACTACGGTCGGTAATCATCGGTACCATGCTACAGTGAGGGAGAAGTATCCTGTTTGCAAGGCGCATCTGGCCGATTCAAACGCGCTCATATTGATGATGCTGAAATAATTGTTTGGCAGATACTGTGAATTTGCACATAGTACGTAGTGGCCTGGTTACGATTTAATGACATGCTCCGCTTTGTTCCAAAGCTTTAGTGGCTGTGAGTGAGGTCATTGCTGAGGCGGTTCCTGGATGACGGCGGTGGCCCGACGCACGTCCGGACGCCGCCCTTTGAGAGAGCCAAAGTATTGGGTGCAGACAAAGTCCTAGCCACAAGAAACCCGCTTTCGGTTGCCGGTGCAAGCGACGGCCAGGGAAGCCTTGGGCACCAGCGGAGCGGTTTCGTATGTGCATATGAGTCCAGGGTTGCGATCAACACTGAGACCAAGATTATTCCCATAGCTGAAAACAATCCTCCCAGTACACGTGCTTACTTGCCACGACCGTCATACTTTGCGCGCAAGCACTCTTCACCGCTGCACGTAAGTAGAGCAAGTGGGACATGCCCGAAGCGCCCGTCGAGCCGCTTGTCGCACCCCCTTACCACCAACAATGTCTATCCGCGTCCTGGTCAAAGATTACCCGCACCGCGCAATCGCACTTGCTACCTCAACCCACGCCCTCGTCCTCCGACACAGCGCCTCCACCACCGAGCACAATGGGAATCCAAATGCTTCGTCAACGTCACTGGGAAGCAATGGCGCTGGCGTCGCGCGCTGCATGGTCGAGTTCACACGGTTGGAGGAAATCGACCTCGAGGACTACAGGGCTATAAACTCAGTCAACGTACATGGTACTCTGGGACTGATTACCGTGGACAATAATGTGTTCTTGATTGTAGTCAACGGCGCAAGCAAAGTTGCGACCGTACGACCGGGCGAGACCGTACAGCGAATACACTCTGTCGGCTTCTACTGTCTGACCAGCACCAGCTATGACATGCTGCTTGACAATGAAGTCAACCCCTACCCTACGGATACAATAGATGACGAGGGATACGAAATGGGGTTTGGGGGCAGGAAAGAACAGAGCCCGACGGAGCACCCGTGTCTGGCGCTCAAGAAGATTCTCAGCAGCGGAACCTTCTATTACAGCTCAGACTTTGACCTCACCAGACGGCTGCAGGATCGTACCACGGACGCCGCCACCGTCTCTATCGATAGCCTGGATGCCGGATTTCTGTGGAATTCATACATGATACAGCCACTGGTAGACTTCAGGAGTAGGCTCGCGACGAGGGATAAAGAGGCGCTGGACGCATCGGGAATCTTGACATCAGCGATTCGCGGTTTCGCGCTGACGATTACAATCCCCAAGGCCTCGGCACCCATCAGGGTTCAGGACTCGGGTATGCCTTCTTCCATGACCCTTATTTCTAGATTATCATGCAAAAGGGCTGGCACCAGGTTCAACTCGCGAGGCATCGACGATGACGGAAACGTCGCAAACTTTGTTGAAACTGAAACCATCCACTGGGCTCCATCAGGAGCTTGCTTCTCGTACGTACAAGTACGAGGAAGTGTGCCTATCTTTTGGGAGCAACAGGCTGGCCTTTTGCCCAATCAACAAAAGATCACCATCACGCGATCTCCAGAAGCCACTCAGCCGGCTTTTGACAAGCACTTTGAAAACTTAGAGCTGAGTTATGGCACGGTACACGTAGTCAATTTACTGAGCAACGAAAAGCAGAACGAGCTAGAGTTGTCATATAGATATCGTGGTCATATCCGCAACAGCCCGTTGAACCACGGGCATGATCCTGCTCAACATGAACACGATCTCATCAAGCTCACCGAATACGATTTCCATGCCGAGACACGTGGACCAGGTGGGTACGAGATGGCCAGCATGATTGCCAGGTGGATTCAAGATTCCGCAGAAGGCTTTGGATACTACCTTTCTGAAGAGGTAGAAGAACAGACGAGACACAACGGGCAAGACTATCTTGTCCGACGGACAATGACCATATTGCAACAAGAGGGAATTTTTAGAACGAACTGTCTAGATTGTCTCGATCGCACGAATCTCGTCCAAACCATCATCAGCAAGATGGCGCTTGAATTATTCTTGAGCCACAAAGGCCTCAGAGCCAGTCAAGACTTCTGGGCCAGACACTCAAGCATGTGGGCAGATAACGGCGATGCTCTGTCCAAGATTTATGCCGGCACTGGTGCTTTGAAGTCCTCTTTTACGCGATCTGGAAAGATGTCGCTTGCCGGTGCTCTTGCAGATGCTCGGAAAAGCGCCACGCGAATGTACATCAATAACTTTGCGGACAAGGGGCGGCAAAACACAATCGATATGCTTCTCGGACGACTGATTGGCCAAGTGCCAGTGCACCTTTACGACCCGATAAATGACTTCGTTGTCACCGAGCTTGCAAGGCGGTCCGCAGAGTACTCAGAAACCGAGATGATCAACATACTTGTTGGGACGTTCAACCTGAACGGAAAGACGGATGGTATCAGAAGTGATCTATCGCCATGGCTGTGCCCTGACGTCGATGCTTCACAGCAGTGCCCCGAGATAGTGGCTGTGGGATTCCAAGAAATCGTGGAGTTGAGCCCGCAGCAGATCATGTCTACAGACCCAGACCGACGAGAGGCTTGGGAAGAAGCCGTAAGGACGTGTCTGAATAGAAACTCTGAGAGACACGGCAGAGATGAATATGTCATGCTCAGAGGCGGGCAGCTAGTCGGGGCAAGCTTGTCAGTTTTTGTCCGGTCAGACTGTCTAAAGCACATCAAGAACGTCGAGGGTGCTTTGAAGAAGGTATACAAAAAGGTTCTGTTTGTGATATCAAAATACTAACCAAATTTTTAGACCGGTATGTCTGGCATGGCTGGCAACAAAGGTGCTGTGGCAATCCGCTTCGAATATGCCAATACCTCAATCTGCCTCGTCACTGCACATCTTGCAGCTGGTTTTGCCAACTACGAAGAACGCAACCGCGACTACAAGACGATTAGCCATGGACTGCGATTCCAGAGAAACAGATCAATCGACGATCATGATACCGTGATATGGCTTGGTGACTTCAACTACCGGATAGGCCTGAGTAACGAGAAGGTGAAGAAATTGTGCCATGTTGGCGATCTTGAGACGCTATATGAGAACGATCAGGTAGGTTGTTTAGCTTTCACAGTAATGATGGCTGCTGACACGCCCTAGCTCAACTTGCAGATGGTTGCAGGCTTAACCTTCCCCTACTATTCGGAAGCGCGCATTACCTTCCCACCCACGTACAAGTACGATCTTAATAGCGATCAGTATGATACGTCGGAGAAGGCACGCATACCTGCATGGTGCGACCGTGTTCTTCGCAAAGGCGACAATATTCGACAGATACACTACAACGACGCGCCCCTTCGATTTTCCGATCATCGACCAGTCTATGCGACGTTTCAAGTTTTGGTGCAAAGAGTTGATGAAAAGAAGAAAGAGAGTCTGAAAGCGGCTCTGTATAGACAGCGAAGGGAGTTTGTTGGTGGTACCAGGGCAGCTGACCATCTAGGGGAGGATGAAACAGACGATGAAGACTTACTTGGGTACGACAGCATAGAGCCAGGACTACCACCAGCAAGCTCGGATCGGAGGAAATGGTGGCTTGACAACGGTATTTTTGCCCTCCTCTCTGCTGTAGCATGGATGCTCATTTTCCAAAGGTCTCCCAGCCAAAGCGCGCGTCCAACCGCCATCTAACGATCTCTTGCCCAATCCGAATAGACCCAGCAATCCTTTCACACCCAGCCCAGAACCAGATTGGGTAGATATTAAGCAATTGCAGAACAGTCGTAGCAGACCAGAGCCACCACCAGCACGTGGCTCGCAAAGGGCACGCACGGTTGACTTCAACGATCCGATATCGTCGACAAACTCAGCAGCAATGCAGAAGCCAACAGCACGCAAGATGATTGCACCGCTGTATCCAGGCCATGCACAGCAGATCCTTGGCTCAGAAGGCTCGCGAGACGGGTTGAATGATCTTCGGCGGTCCGGCTCAGGAGCTTCAACACACTCTCTACCCACTCTACCCTACCGGGCTTCAAACATGCCGCCCCAAAACCAACCTTCCGGCGGCAGCAAACCACAGGTCCTCCGCAAACCCGCACCCCCGCCAATTCCGAACAAGAAACCGGCTCTTCTTACCAAATCATCTTCTACACGAATATCACCGACCCCGCCGCTTCAAAGATACCGCGATGATCCGCCAATGGAGGAATCGAGAGCGTATCTGCCACCTCCAGCGAAACGATCAATGGCACCTCCTCCTAACCTTGCACGGAAACCGATACAAAACTTGATTGACGACGATGATCATAAGCCGGCTCTGCCTCCGCGGACAAATACTAACGGAGGTGGACGGAGCGGGATGGGTGGGAGGAGCTTGATGGACGATGAGCCCGAGGACATGCAGAATATGAGGGATTGGGAGGTGCTCAGACCTGTGCGATGAAGACAGCCAGAGTAGCTTTGGGATGATGGGCCGGGGTTGGTTTCACAGCAGGGAGGAGGATGGTCCGAGTGGTAGCAGCCGTCTACATGTTTCTGGTAGGATATGAATGAATGAAGATGAAGCACGCATACATGGATATTACGCAGGTATTCCATATTTGGCCATGCCGCGGGAGGCTCGAGAGTATCGGCCCGCAGCAGGGGTGCATGAAGTGGTTCGCGGCCCGCTTTGCAATGGTGATCTTGAGGGCATAGTGGCTGCCACCAGCCACAGACATGGCAAGCGATGGAGCGGGTGTGATTGGATGAGGACGGGTGGTAGCGTGTGCCACTCAGGTACAGAAAGCAGGTCGCATGCGCCCGCCAAGTGTGACCAGCGGTCTCCAATCCGGCCGCAGCGCGTAAATGCTCGTCGCATCCAATCACATGGGCGGGCGCCTCCCATAGCCAGGGTGGTGCTGTAGAGCAAGACCCGCCGCAGCCCAACTTGCGGGAAGGCTGTGTGTGGGCAACAAGC